GCCTCTCCCTTTAGGGTTCTTGTTTTGCAATTCAAAGTTATATGTTTAATAGTTAAAACATAAATCCAAAGTAGGTTGCATGTGAACTTAGGAATTGGTTTTTCTAATTTATTTGTTTTACCTAAAACTCATCATATACATCTTCTCAATTCATGAAATTCCTCTAAATGACTAAATTGCCCTTTTGGTAAAAAAACTCTCTAAAAGTCAAATCTTGCTAAATTTCAGGATCTTACATAATATGTTTGAAAATTAGTAAAACATAAGAAAAAAGAGATTCATGAGACAATATTGTATATTCATCCCTCTTACTTTTATAGGCGGATGTAGTCTGTCATTCCCACCATTCCTAACTCATTTGCCACCTCATTGCCACAACAGTTGTTCTCTATTATGTCATTTCAACTCATCTCATTCAACAACACATGAAAATTCATTGTTCCATTATCTTCCAACTTTTAATTTAAAATAAATATAGAACTAGTTACAAAAACATACAAAACTATATATATATATATATATATATATATATATATATATATATATATATATATATATATATATATATATATATATATATATATATATAATACAAGTATACAAGCATATGTTACAAGTAACCAATGCATATTCTTCAAGGTGTGAAACAAGTTAGGGAACCCACTGAAGCATACATTTGGCGAAGAAACCAAATTATCAAAGACTTGGATTTTGGCTACCCAAGATCCTATCAAAGGTACCAATCATACGAAGCAAGATTATTTGGAAATGGTTCGAACTATCTTCACTGGAATGATTGGAGAAAGTCTTTATCGAAACAGTGACCAAATTACTTCGAAGTGACATGATATGCGGTTAAAAATAACTGAATTTAATGGCATTTTCAACCACCTCACCAACTTTGACAAAAGTGGGTCAAACCATTTTGATGTCTTCACCACGGCCCAAATATATACCAAGAAATCCAACCAATCCATAAAGTATTTCCCTATATTGATGATTGGTTTGAGTTAAAGGCTTGTCGAAAATGATATCTTATTGATGAATCAAGGTGTTCCTGTTTGAAGCGTCAGAGAAATGTCAGTGAATGTACCGAATCACAACAATTGGACAGGTGGACACACATCGACCTCAACAACGACCATGTAGACATTGAAGATGATCAATCTTTACGTCGACCGGTTGGAAGAAATAAAGCATAGAAATCGGCTTCCGTTTCTAGCTCAAGAAATCAAAGTCTAGCGTTATCGATAATTTGGAGAAAAATTTGATCGATATGGAAAACTACAAGAAGACAATGTTGGGATAATGAACCAAGTGGAACAAGAAATCATAGAAACACGATAGACATTATGAAGGAATGTCGATTTTTTTTTGGAAAGGGATCTTCCCTAACGAGGGTTTTCGGGCCAGCTTTTGCGCACCGACTAATCCCCCGCTGCAAACATAAAGCTTTGCTTCATGCCCTGGAGTCACTGCAGGCGAACCTCCATGGCCACAAGGGCTGAGTGGTGCCAGGATTTGAACATGGATCAATAGGTTATCCACCATATCTTTCACATGCCTTACCAAGTCACCACAACCCAAGTGGTAGGAATGTCGATTTGGAAACTTTGAAAATGAATGTTTCAACTTTATTTCAAAACTAGTAGTTTTATTTCATTAATTATTTTTTTCAATTAAGATATATCAATTTTATTTGGTGATAAGTCGGATCGGGGGGGGGGGGGGGGGAGTTACACAAAACATATACAGTGTTTGTGTGGTGATATAGTGACAGTGACATGACACTACACCATGTGTGATGGTGTGGTAAGTATGGAAAAAATATCTTAAGTAACTTTTTTCTGTTTATGTTGATTATCATTGTAAGGCTATGATGTATACTTACTACATAGCCACTTGAAAAGTATACCACATCATCATTTTCAATAAAAAAAAAATAAAGAAATAAAGAAATTAAAATACTAGATTTCAATTAAAATTAAAATATTATATTAAATTAAATAAAAAAGAAAATTATATAGTAGGAAAAAAAAGGTTACATTAATTTAAATAAAAGAAAATTTACTCGGTATGAAATTTAATTTTTATCTTCAACATTCACATGTACCCATAGAAATGATCTTAAATAATTAAGCAACTAATACCAAGCATTAATATAAGAAAAAATATTTACAGTTAAGTTAGTATTGTTTCAGCGCTGGATTGATAACCTTAGAATTGTTACTCCTATTTGAATGTGTGTTTCTAAGATCATTGTAAATGTTGCTGAATTTGATTATTTTAACCTTATACCATGCCATTTTGACGAAGGTCCGTCGAGAAGCCGATAAACACATTTCCCCATTTTGTTGTGAAAGTGGTTTCGAATAGATTTCCAAAAAATTTCGCTTATTTTGAAATGGCATCCGGACACTGAAATCCAAGCATGAGCTAAAACGTTTTCTTTATTTTCCTCCCAAAGTTGTTGGGTTTGGAAATTTGATGGTTATGGAAATTGTTCAATGGTAGGTAAGGAGTAGGAAATTGTATGTGAATGTATTGTGGTTTGTGTATTAGGGAATGAAAAATGATGTGAAATATATTATAGTAAATGGTTATATTTATAAGTAAATTATGGAATAAATGTTTACAACCGTTTTGGCCTTGGAAATATACTCATTTAATTGTTATTGATATGTTGCAATTTATGGGGATTGTGTGCAAGTTCATGGTGACCTTATCACATGACTACGAGGAGGCCACGTGCCTTGTATACCGGTTAGTCTAATAATGCATTATTGTTTTCACCGGAAACCAGCAGTAACTATTGCTACAAAATAAGTTAATATATTATTGTTTTAAAAAGAAAATATCAATTCACTAGTTACATAATTTTTTGGCATTAGATTTAAATATTTTTACCATTTGTTATTGCTACAAAACAAATTAATATGTTTTTGTTTTAAAGGGAAAAATCTCAATTCGCTAGTTATATAATTGGTTTGACACTAAATTTAAATATTTTTCGTACTTGTTGAAGAATATAATTCGTTATCCTATTTAAAATTGAATTTTGGCTTTGACAATGATTGATTGAAGCCCTTTATTGTACTAATTTACATTATTGATATTTGAGGTTTTATATATTTTATTTTGTAATAAAATTTGTTACATAAATAGTTATCATAATATAAAATTGTTAAATTTATTAGTATTAATTTTAGTAAAAATTATTACCATAAATGATTAAAAAAATGTAATTATATGTAAGAACCAATAAATCAATAATACGTGAGGATAGCTTTATTGGTCTGTAATTACATAATTATATATATTTGTTAAACACTCAAAAATTATTTTAACAACTTATCAAAACATAATATTTTTGAACTAAAAGTTTGTAGTTCAGCGGTATCAGATCTATTGGAAAGATGATCATTCCTTTAAGTGGTGGAGGGTTCAAATATTGTTGTGAATATAGATGTAGAATTAAAAGTACGATTAATAGGTTTGTTTGTTTGCCATTCTAAAAAAACACACATGATACTTTTGAAAAAAAAGAAAACATAAGTTGATTTAAATGAGCAATTCCACACGCCCCTTAATATATGAACAACATTCCACATTTATTTAGGATTATTTTCAAAAGAAATATGAGATTCATATATTTTTTTTAACAACCTTAAGTTCATAGGTGATACAAATCAAGATAACATTCGTGATAACTCACAGTATCCTTAAAAAGTATACGGGTTTTATTATGTAACACAAAACATAATGAAAAAAATGTTTCTTTAAATCAAGTATAAATGAATTAATGTGGAACTTATTTGCCTGAAATGAATATTGTTTTCTAACTTAAAAACCCAATTAATCTAATCAAAATTTAATTAGAACGCAACTCCAAGCAATGGCCTCCTTTACCGGCTTCAAAACGGAGCTCACTTTCAAAATCCTTCAAATTTTCAAAACCAAAACCTCAATTTCTTGCTATAAAAACATAAAAAGTATCATATAAAATCAATTTCTTGATGAATTTATATCACATATATATGCATACATACCTTTACCATGGAGAACATGAAGGTGTTTCATAAATGGTATCACTAATCAAAAATGTTGTGCATCGGTCCATTATCAGCAGAATTTTATCCTGAGGACCTAAAATTGCTTAGTGTTAGGTGTTGTTTCTTTATAATAAAATGCACTAATTGGGACAAATAAACATTGACTTTTTATTCAAAATCACCACAAGATAGAAGGTTAAAATGATCATTTACTCTCATTCAAACGTTTCATTTAGTCCAGAAGAAGACAATCATTGTTCATACGGACTTAATGGACAAGAAAAGGAAATAAGAGCTTAATATGGTAGGCTATATATGATGTTTTTTTCTTACTTAATATAGAAAGAACGACCTAATTAATATAAAAAGAATGACCTAACAGAGAAAGCAAAAGAAATAAGGTTTTCACCATTAATTCCTAGCTTTTTACAATTTTGTCATCATTTATTTTTTCCTTCCATTTCCTTAAGTTTGTCGTAATTTTCTCAAATATTTTTTAAACATCATTCATCCAAAGCTCCAAAGATTACTTAATGGGGAAGAAAGACACAAGCCTCAGTCAAATCTATGAGGACTAAATGCACAAAATGGCAAGGTATTTCATTTATCTTTATATCATAACATCATTGCACTTTCAATTTTTTTTTCTTAAAAGGGCATTATACTTTACAAAACCTACCTAATTATAGGTGTGAAATTTGTTTTGTATTTAGATGGTGTTGCTATAATTAGGTAGATTTTGAAATAAAATACTATAAAGGAGAAGGTGAAGTAGGATGTTATAATAAACAAATAAATTAAACTATATTGTTGTTTCTTGCATTTAACCTTAGCTTGATATATGAAATCAATCCACTAGAGTATTTAGTGAATGAGAAATATCTCTTTAAATCAAACATATTAAAATAGGTTTAGGAGTAACAAGTTGATACCTTATATAAAGCAAAGTCAAAACCCTATTGTCACAAGAGGGTCATAATCATACTCTTCACCCGCCTTAACAAATCTACCTTTTACGCGTTTCCTAGTATCAGCTCTAGCTTTACGAGAAGCGTATCGTATTTGTTTACCAAACCTACATGTCACAAGTGTAAATGATTATATAAAAATGTAATCTCTATAGAAGAACTGCAAGTTTCCATTAAAAGTTAAGTTGTTTTCTTTTTTACCTATATGGTAATTGAGTATTTCTATTTTACTTAATGCAAAAAAGAATGATTTATTGGAGAAGGCTTTCCCATTATGTATTAACTCCCAACCTTTATATAAAAATTTCCTTCCATTTTCATTTATTTGTGTATTATAACTTCCTACTCTATTTATTTGTATTACAACGTTGTACTTTTATATTTTCCCTTGTTAAAGCGTTGTATTTTGAAAAATCTACCCAACTATCACATTGTAATTTCAAACTTTTTCTTATTAGGATATTATGCTTTGAAAAAAATACCAAACTACAACATTCAAAATCCCTTTGTATTTGAATGAGATTGCTATAATAAGGTAGATTTTTCTAAAGTACAATGTTGCAATACGAAGACATTTATATAATACAAATAAATGAAAGTGTGTTGCTATTTCATTAATCTAGCAGGTTAAATGCAAGAAATAGCAATGAACTTTCATTATTTGTTTATTATTGTATCCCACTTTCATTTCTTCCTATTAAAACATTGTACTTTGAAAAATCCACCCGTTATAGCAATGTTATTCAAATACAAAGCAAATTTAACTCGTGATTGGTCAAATATTTCAAAATATAATGTCTTAATAACAAAATATTGAAAATACAATGCTACCATTGGGTATAATTTTCAAAATACAATGATGTAATAAAAAGAAATGAAAGTAAGATATTGTAGTACACATATATGAAAAGTAAGTTGATATTTCTTGCATTTAGTAGCATCTAAAGAAAAAGAAAAAGAAACTAGAAGAAGAACATACATTCGTGTTTTCTTTTTCTCATTATATCTCATCTTAGCTTTGTCCCTTGCTTGTGGGCTTGATTCAAAATTCGACTCCAACAATGATTCACGCGTGAGGAACATCGGTGATAAGCCACAATCTTGATAATCTATAGCACTACTTTCTCCAGTAATGTTTGATAATGAAAGGGGCATATTAGGGAATCCAAGGTTCACAACACTTTGATTACAACTTGGATTCATAAGCATGTTGCCACCACCACTTACCGCCTGCAACACATTAGCGGATGCCGCCACTTGTGATGCTGGAAAAGTGGTACAATCTTGTTGTCCGGATGATGTTGCCTAACAACATTTCAAGCAAGTGAATATGATATAGAAGTTAAATGAAAGGTACACAAAAAATGTGAAAGTAGAAGAGAACCTCAAGTGTGTTCTCTATATGACTGTTTGATTCGGTAACTGATAAGTTTTTCTCCATTACAAGGCAATCCCCACCTCCACCCTCAGAAGGATATCTGGTTTGAGCTTGAGGAATATCATTAAACATCTCATAACCACCATCAAAACTCAACGAAACATCGCCCAAATCAACATTGTCACATAAAACTTCACCTTCATTAAGTCCAAGATTGTTCAAATCGGATCCATCCTACGTTTTTCAAGACAAATTTAAAGTGATTCATGATTTTTGCATCTTAAAGATGAATGAAAGGGGTAAGTAGAATACCTTATTCAGGTTTGATCCATCTGAGAAGAAAGGGTTTGGATCTTTTTGATCACAAGATGGCAAGTAGGTCAAATGTGGTGGGATTATTGAAGATGGATTAATGATCCAAGGCTCAAACTTCACTGCTGATGCTAATTCATTAAGAGTAGATGCCACTAATCCCATTTGATCCTCGTTTTGATCACTCACAAGATTTTCATTGAGGTTTAAACTGCTCATAGGATGGAACTGAGGGTCAATACTTGGACCTCCATCACGAATTGTAGACAAAATCTTCAGAAATGCATCATGTGAAGGACACCCGGTGTAGGCATTGAGTTCCTCAATGCTATATCCTTGCACAGATGAGCATCCATTCTCATTCATATCACAAACTTGACAAAATAACATTTTATCGAACAGATGGTGGGCAATAGCCGGCTGCAAGTTACAGTTATCACAGAGGAAGGAACGAGGGTGCCTGCATGATAATGAATTAGCAGAGTGCACGCGGTTGTCGCATTGGAAGCATAATTTTGCTGCATCGGATTTACAATACACCAATGCCCTCGCTACCCTACAGAGATCACAGAAAGCTTCCATATTAAAGTAAAACCCTTCGTTTTTCTTGAACTTTTTTAGATCAAATTACTTGTAATCGTCTGTAGAAATTCAGCCTATCCAGTATCGATTATCAAACCAAAGATCTCAAATATTTAGCACCAAATGTGACAAGAACTAATGAATCTTGAACAGGTGGAGATATTAGAGCTTACTGATGTTGTCGATAATTTATTGGACTGAATTTCCACCGATTATTTAATAAATTACACTTGAGAAATGATGATTTATCATCTCTAAACAGATCTTCCAAGAAAAGGAATATGATCAAAAAAGTTAATTATAAATTATAATCATAAAAATGGGTTCTTTTTGGTTGCGGAAAGTAAATTATTTGATTTTGATTTGAAGAAAATACAACACAAGAGATTTTGATTGAAGAAGAGATGGAAGAAGGGTCGATGAGAGCGTATGTTGTTCATATTTATATACAAAACCTCCGAGTTAATGGGATGACACGTGGACGGTGTGGGTCCAAAGAGTGACATGACAGCAGGTGATGTGGCATTTGAAAAGATCTGCCATTTTACTCGCTCTTCCCAGCCACTAATTATATCTGAGTGGCATAAAGCGTAAATAATTGTGAGTTTAAGGGCATTGTGAATTAAGAAAAATTAGCCACAAAGGAACTGACACGTCGTCCGAGTCATGCGCAGAGAATAGTGTTCTGTTACGCCTGAAGGTCGAGATCATCGAAAATTCACCATGTCTCGGTGACATGGATACTCTCATCGGCTGACGTGGTGTCATGTTTCTGATGTGGATTTTGTTCTATTTCTCATATTTCATCCTAATATTTCTTAAAATTTATGATTAAATTCATGATTATAATTTTTATAAATAATATGTAATCTTCAATCTATGAAATCGGTAGCATTATCATCATATCATCATCAATCTGTGACATGTAAACACGATCAGGATAATTTTATCATTCATAATAGTAATATTTTTATATTGATTACTCTTTATGTTAAAATATAATCTGAAAACATAAATACATAATAACGTAACATATAATCTTAGACTAGTGTGTATATCTCATTATCTTTTATTTTAGAACAAATTATTTAAATCACTGTGATTTGTAAAAATTTCATGTATGGTCTCTATCTTTTTCTTTTTTACGCTTGGATCGTTTCTATAGTTTGTTTTTATTGAGTTTTTTTATCTCTAACCAACATGAATGACTTTTTTGCTTTTTATATTTTCTTTTTTAGTTTTTTATGAATAAAATAATTAATAAATTTGTGGGCCCACTCCCAAATAGAACATTAAGCCTTTGGACCTCCGCTCAGCACTGTCGGATCTTCGTTCACCACCCCAGGATCTCCGCCCAACACAATCAGATCACCTACCACCAAAATGATGTCGGAACACTAGGGATGAACATGGGTCGGTTTGAATTGGTTTTTTACTAAAACGAAACCAAACCGTAGAAATTCGGTTTTTAAAACCATGTAGGTTCGGTTTTTGCATGGGTCGGTTTTTCGGTTTTCCGGGTTAGGTTTATGGGTTTTCGGTTTTAAACCGTGGGTTTAAGAGCGCCATTTTTTTTTTCAAACCTAGTGAAAATACATTGCGATAAATAGTATTGTATCTACTTTAAATATACTAAATATACTAAAATATAGATTACGAATTCTAGTATTATAAGAGCATAAAAGTATTCAAAAGATCAAAGTTTAACGCCATTAACAGTTTGTTGAAAATAAACATAAAATATTAAAGAGATAAAGTCTAATGTTTAAAACTAAAAGTTTAAATCATAATATAAATAATATATATGTCGGTCGGTTCGGTTTTTATGGACGGTTTTATACGTCAAAACCGAACCAAACCGTTATTTTTCGGTTTTTGTAAAATTCAAACCTAAACCGTCGGTTATTGCTTTGGTTTCGGTTATGTCGGTTTTTTCAGTTTTTCGGTTTTCGGTTTGGTTTTTGCTCATCCCTACGGAACACCATATCAACTCTGAAACCCAGTGTAAAACCATGGACCACCGGATCTACGTTGTAACCAACAGATTAACCTCGAAACCAACATATCGACGTCTCTTTCTTCCCGTTAGAAATCATCTTCGCCGCCATCTACTCCATCGGTAAGGGTTAAAGGAGGCGGTGGTTCTCTCTACTCTGTCTTCCTCCCTTCTGGAACCGGAACTGAAAGGTCGCCACCCACCACCCACCATTAATGCCCTACTCTGGCATCGTTGTTTATCCGGTTTCCTGATCTATAAAGTCAGAGAAGCTTAAGCAAAAGGCGGTCGCCACCTACATTGTGCTAACACCACCAATCTACAGTCAACAGTACCGATTTGAAACACTAGACACCAGATCGTGCTTTTCAGATCTAAAACATTTGATGTAGATTTGTTTTTTATTTTCATTATGGGTTAGGTTGGTAGCAGTGGTGACATTTAATGACAGTGGTGGCCGTGGTGGTGTTTGCAAACAAAATCCAGATATGTTGGCGGTTTTCAATGGTAGTAGCGGCGGTTCGATGACATATCGATGACACAAGTGGTTGCCGGAGGTTGTCGGTGGTTACTGGTTGTGACCACTAATTGTTGTTGGGTGGCACTAGTAGTGGTGGGAGTGTGTTGAACTAGGTTCCATAAATTGATAACTTAATCTACTTTTTTTTTTAATTTATAAATAACAAATAAAAAACTAAAAAAGAAAACATAAATAGCAAAAAAATCATTTCATGTTGGTCAGTGACGAAAACGCAACGAAAACAAATTATAAGGACGGTCTTAAAAAAAAAAAAAAAAAAAAAAAGACCAAAGTTGAAATTTCTCCAAACCATTTTATTATTATTTATGCTAAAATATCATCATCAATATCCTCAACAAATGTAATTTTATTATTATTTAAATCTTTTTGTTATTTCATTTAAAATTGATTCGATTTTTCTGCGATTTATAGTTCTTGTACATGCTCAAATTTTATTTTGTGGTTTTTTATGTAATTTTTTGTTAAATTTGTAATTTTCTACAAGTTATTTGAAATTTGTTGTGTTATGTATGTTTCGATAAATTAGAGCAAGTCCAACCTTAACATCAAATAAAACGCTAAACTAGTATAACTTTAACACTAAATTTCGTCTTCACTCCTACCGCATGGTATAATCTTCCCCTCAAAAACATATATTTTATATATTAATAATAAAATAATACTTTTATGTATAAACAATATAATATTGAAGCAAAACGAAATGGTTGAAGAACAAACAAAGTAATTCTTTTATATATAAACAATATAATATTGATTATAAATTTTGCCGGTCCCATCATTTTAATGGGTTACTGTTTAAAATCACAATTTTACCGTTTGTTTTTGGAGCTCTTTTGGCCAGCAAATCACCATTTTGCCGGTCCATTATGGGGGTGGCCGTCTTAGGATGTATGGGTAGTGCTGCCACATTGGTGCTTTAATTGTGAAGGCAATCTGCACGTTCAGTTCAAATCCATTTGGAGTCCAAGGTAAAGTAAATAAATAATGCCAGTAAAAAATTTTAAAATTTTAAAAGTAAAGGAGGATGGTACCATCGGAATTTTTTATTATGTAAAGGAAAAGGCCATTAAACACACCCCACTACCCAAAGAACCTAACAAGTAACAAACTAATAATAATATCAATATCAATATTTTTTATATTTAAAACTTTTTTAGAGACAAAATCATTAATAATAATATCAATATCAATATTTTTCCACATATCTTTCTTGATGTACATAACATAGTCAAAACATTTAATATATTTCTTGTAACATTGAGAATTTTAAATAGTTTTTTAATAATTTCAACTTTGAAAAAAAAAATCATTGACGCTACAGTAATAAGTATAGTTAAAATTCAATATGCAATAAAAAAAATTTAGATAGCAATCTTTTTTTTAACAAGCTCTAAGATTTCAAATGCAGATATAAACACATTTGGCAAAGTAATTTGCAGCACTTTGAGTTCTGAAAACAAATATTTTAAATCTACATCACTTATGAAAATTTTGTTCTACAACATTACTATAGCTTTTTTAAAGGTCAATATGACTTTAATTTTTTGAATCATACAAAAAACCAAAAAAATTTCAATAGTTAATTGTTTAAATCTAGTTTCTAATGAAGCAATTGTAATAAAAATATTATGTTGTTCTTTTTTTTATAATTTAAATAGAATATAAGATAATAATAATAAACAATTACAATAATAAATAAAAAATCACAATATCATTACTTCAATTAACATTTAACTTATCTAATAACAATATTCTCAATTCCTTCAAAATATAATAAGTCTAAATGTTACACTAGCTAGTAACACTCCAAACATAAAGCTATCTAACTAAATTCTTGTTGGAGAAGAAACCTGAAACTTGATTGCAGATGACATTTACGTAACTATCCTCTTGTTAATCTAAGTTATGAATAATTTTCTATCATATAACCATATATGACACAAAATTAACAACTTATAAAAATAGCAATAACAAACATGAACATAAAAAAGTATAGATCACTAGTTACCGAATTGAAAGTAATTACCATTGTTATGACCGACCAAAAGAATTGATGCTAGCTAGAAATAGCATATAGCAATTATAGCACATCAGCTTATGAATTTAAAAGATTTTGTTAAGCTGAAATTTTGGTACATACTAAGACTATATGAAATAACCAATATAGATCGAGAAGGTTTACCTAATTAAGGTCACTTACGCATCATGAATCACATTAAAGAGTACAATGTGCCTATCCATCGGAGATCAAATAACCATGTTAAGATCAACCAAACAATAGTGATAAAACAAATAAATAAATAAATAACAAAAAAACAAAGAAACAAAGAAACAAAGAAAAAAAAAACAGAAAACAAAAAACAAAAAATAAAACATGTCGGATTTTTATTTTACATTTGGTACCACCATATTCCCTAGTTCAAACCACAATATCTATAACCATTTTTAAAATATTAAAACTAG